AGAGAGAGAGAGAGAGAGAGAGAGAGAGCTAGAGAGAGACACACACACACACACACACACACACACACACACACACACTCCTTATCACCTTCTGTCATTTCATCATCTTCCTGTTCATCGACAGCTCCTGAAGCGGCTTTATTCGCGATGATGATGATTCGAAGCGGATGATTCCGATGCTTCGACTCGGTTCGGTTCGGTTCGATCGGATCTTTTGCTTCTGGTCGTGATGCACCTGGCGGATTTCCTGGCCGGTTCCGTTGGAGGTCAGTGTGTGTGTGTGTGTGTGTGTGTGTGTGTGTGTGTGTGTGTGTGTGTGTGTGTGTGTGTGTGTGTGTGATTTATGAGTACAATTTTAAGGTTGTAGAGAATACAGTTTGTATAGTATAAAAACAATGGAAACCAATGGAATGTCCCCACAATTCACAGAAACAATGGTTTGTGTGTGTGTCTTAAAGGGACAGTACACCTAAATGAAAATTATGTCATCATTTGCTCTTCTCTTGCTTAAACCTTTATGAGTGTGTGCTGAGCACTAAAGAAGTTCTACTGGAAATGCTGGACATTGGTAACCACTGACCCTCATGGTGTTTGCTTCTGCTACTCTGGAAATCAGTGGTAAAAGGAGAGTTAATGATGACAGAAATGTAATGATTGTTTTGAGTGAACTGTCTCTTTAGTTTAAGATTCATCATTCTGTTATACCTCAAATAAACAATAACACACCCCACACACACACACAGACTAAAAGTCACACACACAGCACAATTTTCAGTAAAAATAATTGTAAAAACAAAAATAATAGCAATAAGAAGCTAAATTATAGAATTTAACAAGTAAGCTGGAAATATATAAATAATTATATTATAGATAAATATTTACATGTATAAATAGAAGCTATATAAAATAAGAGGCAATATTTAAAACATAATTAATTAATGATTTTTTTGCCATTTATTTTTAGTTTTTTATGATTTTATTTATTATGAATTATCTATGATTTATATTTGTAATTTTTAAATGATTTTATTTATTTTTATATTTAAATCATTAGATATGCAGATATGTTGAGAAAGCGTTCTTCAGTAATGTTTCCACAATGTGTGTTGATTAACATGACACGCTGTCTAAACACTCATTTAACTCGAATAAATGCTTTAATATGTACTTTTATGAATAAAAAAGCAACATTCTCAGAGCTAGTTGTAAATGTGTGTTAATAGTCGTGTGTGTGTGTGTGTGTGTGTGTGTGTGTGTGTGTGTGTGTGTGTGTGTGTGTGTGTGTGTGTGTGTGTGTGTGTGTGTGACGGCTGATTGTGTTTGGTGTGTTCAGGTGCGTTTGGAGTGGCGGTGGGGTATCCACTGGACACGGTGAAGGTAAACCATCATCATCATCTTCATGACGCATACAGATGTGTGTGTGTGTGTGTGTGTGTGTGTGTGTGTGTGTGTGTGTGTGTGTGTGTGTATGTGTGTGTGTAACTGCT